CCTATTGTTTTTCTGCTTTCTATTTCATTGATTTCTGCTGATATTTATTTCCATATTTTTACTGATTTTGTTTTTAATTTGCTCAACCTCTTCAAGTTTCTTAATTGGGTTCTGAAGTCATTGATATGAGATCTTTGTCCATTTCTAATATAGCTATATAGTGCTATCAATTCCCCTCTAGGTACTGCTTTAGCTACATCTCACATAATTTGATATGTTGTGTTTTCAAATTCACTCAGTTCAAAATACTTTCTAATTTTCCTTTTAATTTCTTCTTTGAAGCATGGGTTATTTAAAAGTGTAATATTCAATTTCTAAGTATTTGGGAATTTTCCAAAGAGCTGTTACTGATTTCTAATTTAATTACATGGGGGTCAGGGAACATGCTTTGTATGATTTAAAACCTTTTAAATTTATTAAGCCTTATCTTATGACCCAGAATGTGGTTTCTTTTGGTAAATATTCAATGCATACACTTTAAAATAATGTGTATTTTGCTATTTTTGAGTAGAATGTACTATAAATGTGAATTATTTCATATTTATTAATCTTGTTTAGATCTTTTATATTTTTAATAGGCTTCTACTTTTTTTAAAATCAAATTTTAAAGTGAGGAGTACCAAATATCTGACTATATGACTATATATTTGTGAATTTGTCTACTTCTTATAGTTGTATTATTTTTGCTTCATTTTGAAGCTCTGTTATTATGTGCACCTTCATTTTGACACCTTCATTTTAGATAGGCCCACCTGTGCATTCAAAAGCATATTTGTCATAATTTTCCCAGTATTTGAAAATTTCAGAATATCTAGTCTGCTATATTAAAAATCCACATATTTCCTGGATTTTTTCTTCTAAATTAAAAAAATAATGTGCTTTTATTTAAGCAATAAAATAATTGCTCTTTTTAGTTTGTTAAGAATCTTGATAAATTTAGCCTATTTTTTATTTTGAAGCCATATTTTTGGATTCCTTTAGTTTCTTGTTCTAATTTGAACTAATTTCTTTCTACTCCTTCTTCACAGATGTAAATCTGGGATTTTGTTTTTAATCTCCACAGCTAGGTTAGGTACATGTCTCTGATTTAAGTCCCTAATTACTTTTTTGTTTTGTATACTAACTCATGTAATTATTTTAGAAGTGTATTTAAATAATATGCTTTCTGAATTTGGGGCTTCTAAATATGTCACCATTTATTTTGTGATTGTGTGATGGTTTGCTAGGTGTAAAATTATAAGTTATTACATGGTGCCAGTATAATCTTAATATGAAAACCAATAAAGTTAATGTCACAAATATTTAGAACAATTTTACTTATGAGTAAGGACAGAAAGTTTCTAAAAAAAAATTAACGCCAGCAAAGAATAAAAACAATAATGCTTTATGACATTATTTCAGAAATAGTTCATTATCAGTAAACCTATTGAAATATTTATACTACAATCTAAAGGAGAAAAGTCATGCAATAGTATCAATAATAATAAATGCTGACAATTTAATAGAGCAGTTAATATGTGTCAGACAGTGTTCTAAGTTTTGTATGTATATTAACATTATCAACATTATAAGGAAGATGATATTATTGTGACCCTTTATATGTGAAGAAACAGATACATAAGGGCAACTTGTGAAAGATCGTATAATTATTTAAGTGAAAGAAAAGGCATTTAAACTCAAGTAGTTTGTATCCAGAATCTTTGCTGTGCTATATCTATTTTTAATAAATACTGAAAAATCATTCTATAAATTTTTGTCAACATTTAAATAAAATATTAGGTAATATGAAGGAACTATTTATTATAACAGATAATTTACCTGAATATAGAGTTCAAGCAAAAGAAATGGAACATATGAGACAAATGACAGATTAGATCAATTTTTATGCTATATTTAGGGCTATTTTCTCAACTTAGCCCCAGAATTTACATTGAATGCTTTGTTTTGGGAAGTATATTTTAATTTTGTAGAATCCTTCCTTGTTGTCTTCTCTTTCTCATGTCAAAATTTTTTGGTTTAATTTTATCAATGCAACATCTCAAATTTTTCCCAACATATTAATTAGAAAAAAAGTTGTACACTATTCCCCGAGTTCTATTCAGTTTTTCTCAATGTGACTTATTTTATTTTTATCCTATTAATTATAAAATAGCAATGGCACAGTACTTGCTTTTTATGGAGATTTATCACTGTGATTCATCTTTGAGAGCAGAATTCAGATGTTTGTTGACTACCTCATTAAAGAAAAATCAGTTCTGAGTTTATTAAGTGAATGTAGTTAGGATTATACATGAAGGCACAGTGACGGTAAAATCGGTACTTCTGAGCAAAGAATATTATTTTTTGACAACTCTGGGAAAAGCTCATAGGAGTGAGGTTGTGATTGTCTAAAGCTGTTTGCTAGCTGAAGACATTAAATTCAGATCAAGTTCAGGAAATCGCTTGTTGGAGGAAGGAAAACTGAAGCTTCACTTGATTTACTGCCCCTTCTTTTTTTCTTAGAAACTGTTTATTTCCTGTCAACCTTATTTCCATTTTCTGTTTAAGGGTTTGTAGAATAACAGCTTAAGACCACTCAGTGGTTGTTCCTACCCATTCAGTGGCCCGAGTGGTGGGGCTGTAGACCAGTCCTCAGTGGCAGCTGGGCGCTCCAGTCTTGAGTAGGAAGCTGCTAAACAGGCCCAGATGGCACCTGTGCCTTAGACCAGTCTGTGAGCTTGGGTTGAGTAGCAGTAATTTGGGAGCTGGAACAGTCCATTCTCGCTGAAATTCCTCTTGGTCATAGTCTTGTCAGCGGTGGCCAGCTCTTTCTTCTGTATTCAGGATCTCTGCGGAAGTAGGGGTCGCGCATGACCTGCCCCAGAAGTCACAGGATTTGGTACTACACATGCGCAGAACTCCCTAGCCAGCGGTTACTTCATCACACGCTGAGCGAGCTCTAGTGTTACATGGGGATGGCCAGGTCCACGCATTGCAGAGGAATCTGTGTTACACAGGCTGCCTCTGTGAGAGAATGCTGGTTAGCCCTGGGATCAATAATGACCAGAAGTCGGGGCTCCTAGAACACTGCCCCCACCTGGTTAGAAAAGGTTCCAGGAATAAAGGGGCTGCAATAGGAGTGGCTCCAGTGGCAGCAGTAAACTAGCACAACTCGCTGGCCAGAGTTCCTGGAGGATGTGATGCTGACATCAGCCAGATTTTCAATGGCATGAGCTGCCAGCAGAAGATTTCTCCCAGGTTTTCTTGATTTGTGAGATAATGGTATCATTTTTCCTTTTGTGGATGACTGTTCCACTTGGAAGTCAAATTTGGTGCCGCCTATGGCTGCAAAGAATTGAGGACATCCAGTACCTTTATTTGCAGGATATCAAGGGCTCCAGGCATTGTTAGTTTCCCTTTAAGTTGCAACAGGAACCCGGAACAACATAATGTGGACCCCTCTCTGGGTGGTACAGAAAAGCTAACCTCTTCTAACTTGAAATCAGAAGCTACTTTCTATAAAATCTTGCAAAGATGCTTTTTACATATATATTATAACTTTGACTACCAGATAGACATAATAACTTTATATTGGAACACTATTTGTCATTTACATCATAGTGCCTATTTTAAAGTGCTGGCTTTAAATCTCGGGAATGGCTCTGTTTCTCAGTTTCCTCAGCTGTTAAACAGGACTGTTACCTACTTCATGGGCTTTTCCTAAGAATTTAAAAAGGTAATACTGTTAGGTACTAGGTATAATATCTGACACATAGTAAGCACTCAATAAGTTTTATATATTGTTATCTACCTATTATCTATGAGTATCTCTCCCCTAACAAGTTTTCTTTCAGGAAGGAATAAAACTACATTTGGGTTTCCAAACAAACAGGAAATATTGCTTTTAAATATATTTTTCTTAGCAGCTTGTAGATAGCAATAACTGTTATGGAGCTCGTACTCAAGGTCTGTACTTGTTTCAAAGAAAGCTCGCCATGTGTTTGGAGCTTGGCAGATGACTCAGTTCTTATTCTGTTTATGTCCACTTTCTGTCATTTTTCTTCTAAAATGCACAAGCAGCACAGCATTAATTTCTCTACTCTTACTCTTCCTGTCCCCACCCTCATGCGCACGCACACACACACACACACTCACACTCCCTTTTCTACAACACACACATATAAGCATATGCACTATTCATTTTATTTCATTTTTTTAAATTCCCAGAGGATTCGTGGAGCAGGCTGTTTGCAACTGCTGTGTTTTCCACTGGTTAAATTGGCAGTTACCTACTGTGTGGAGTTGCTAGGAGAAGGTGAATAAGCATGATTACAGCATCATTGATGTACATATTCTTTCAATAACAACCTGTGGAGCTCTGTGGTCTGTCTTCTGTATGTTATTTTCTCATTGTTGTCCTTAATATTTGTTGCATTTTTTGTTAGAAGATGAGATATTTTTAACTGTTGGTTCCAGATCAATTAAGAGAGAAAAACCTGGCATTTAAAACAGGCACTTTTTTTCTCAGGGTGGTGCTGCTGATACTGGTTCCTGCCATCTGTTTTCTTATTACATCCTGCTCTCTTTCCATTGGTAGAGAGGAATTCAGCTTCTTCTGGTGCGCTAAAGTCATTCACGTTTCTCTTGTGCATAATAGATCTCGTAAACTGTAGGAATTCTGATGTGCTTCAGTGCACGAAACTAACAAATGAGCTGCTTTTGGGGAGAGCTAGAGCACTTAGTTGGTCAGTAGTACAGTAGCAGGCTCACATGTGTGGATTGTTTCTGTGAGGTCAGAGGATCTGTTTATACTGCTGTCTGCTTGAGGGTGGTGATGTGGTGAGCAGTGGATATGCCTGTCAAAGTCAATAGCAATTCTGGCAGAGGCTGCCCTCAGCTTTGTAAATCTGCAGTGTTTTGATAGATAAGAGATGCTACTGTATAACTCAAATTTGTAGTGGGCTGAGGAATGCTTGTTCTAGCTGCTGAAACTGACTGTAACTGTTTGCCCTAGGAGTATCATCATGGGGTCTACTACTACAGATATCGAAGACCTGGAAAACACCACTTTTAAGTATCTTATAGGAGAACACACTGAAAAAATGTGGCAACGCTTGAAAGGAATGTGAGTAAGCTCTTTGTTTGGTTTTGTTTTCCTTTCTCCTCTCCAAATTTGACTATTAACGTATTTAATTGTTGGTAAAATCTGACTTTGTGCACTAGTGGTTCCTTTAGAAACATTTCTCTTAAAAAATAAAACTTGTCAGTCTCAGTTAACAACCTGCTTGAAAAGTAGACATTTTTTTTTTTTTTTGCCCCTGTATGTTTTATGTAAGGCAAAGGCAACTCTCAGAGGAAAAAAAAAATCACTTTACTGTTATACTATATGACTTGTTTTATACTTCTGCATGTGTTGTTTAGACATGCAGAAAAGTAACCAGAAAGCAGTTTGCCAAGGTACTTGCAGAAACAAAATTTTCTTCAAGTGAATAGAGAGATTACTGCTGGTACTTATTTCTCTGTGAATGGATTTTGAAAAAACAAAAGGAGGATTAATACGGTGCTTATTGTTTATGTCTTAATGAATTATATTTCTTTAAGAAAAAAATGCATATGTGGGAAAAACACTATCAGCATACCAAACTTATTGGAGAGTTTAGGCTTTAAATTAAACAATTCACTTGTGAGAGTACAGAAGAGCTCATGAGATAAAATAGATCTTAGTAAGGTGAGTCAAGAGATGTGCTTATGTCAAGCATGAAATATAAGTAGCTGAGTCAAACTTTAATTGAAATTCTATTCACCTTGCTATTTAAACATTTCAGTTTTTTTTTCTGTGTATGCTACTAATTCCTGTTTAGTGTTACATCACATTATGTACATGCTTTATTTTAATTATGCTATAATTTGAAAATCATATTTAAAATTTAGATAAAATGTGAATATGAATATCTTCAAGCAGTTGTTAGCATGTTTGCATATTTAAAGTGAAAATATATTTGCTCTTCTATGATAAGAGCTGAATGAATCTTATACCATGTGGAACAAAGATTTTCTGGGATTCATATTTCAAATTTGGTGTTTACATAGTATTTTATAAAATACAACATCTCAGTAAATTCAGTGTGGCTCTTTTGATAGCTATGATTTTTTTAGATAAAAAATTATATCGAACTTTGTTTAAAGGTAAAATGCCTTCTACTTTCCTCCATTTAAATGTAATTAATGTTGTTTATATATATTTAAATAATGTCTGTATATTTTCTTACACATGAATATATAGCATTGCACTAGTATAATAGCATACTAATAATGCAAACAACTTTTAACAGAGACTAACTTTAAAAAAGGAAGCATCTTTACATCATTTGAATGAATTAGAGAAATATGTTTCCAAGTTTCACTGAAGATTTAGACATTACAGTGTTTTGGTGAGGTGGCTCTCTAGGGAGAAACAAATAATCCTATAAAAGCAAATAACAATTTACAAAATTAATTAGCATAGATGAAGGTTAAATATTGGCAGTCATCAGATTATTTGTGTCCTAACCTAGTGAGTAGATAAACAACTGTACTAGAAAAATTATATCTCATATTACGACCATTTTAGATTTTCTTCTCTTCAGTAGAACAGAATATTTTTGTTTGTGTTGTTTATATTTGTTCTATTTTTCTGTAGTAACTTGAATGTATGAAGATTTATGGTAGTGAAATTAGGCATATGTCTTTAAGGAATTTGAAAAACGACTTTGTATTTACCTAACATTTTAGTGCAAAGTTATCTGACTTTCACTTTATCAATTGATCTCAAAGATCAGTCTGTCATTACATTTCCGGAGGGAGCGATAAGATAATTCAACAGTAGAGCTTCATTAACTTGATATTCAACATTGATGTAGAATATATAATATGTGTATATACTGAGTAAATTTTGAATTGTGTCCACATAGAGCCACCAAATAACCATTGAGGGAAAAAATTACTGATAAAAGTTTTTTAAAAATTATTGTTACTAAACTGATTGAAATGACTGATTGTTTTTATATCAAAAAAAGAAGGAATTTCATTTTGGTGTTATTACTTTAACTTGTACTTTGATTTAAGATATTACTAGTATTTTAGGATTAGAATTGTCAAAATAAGAAGCTCTAAATCTAAGATCAGCATGACTAATGACAACCAAATTGTATAATTATGGTCTTTGTGTAATTTGCAATCGAAGCAGTGATATGAAGGACTCTCTATTTCATTGCTGAAATTGTCTGGCCTATTTAAAATGTAATATTGACTTGAACAGAATTTTAGCTTATTAAAATTGCTAGTGCTAGAATTTCACTTTTAAATATTGGCAATTACATTCTTGCTACTCATGAAAGCTATCAAACAATTTTTCAATAATTTTTTTTTTTTTTTAGTTTGGTAAAATAGACCCAGTGAATTCCTTTAAATATTTGTTGGGAGAATTTTTTTTTGATCTTTTACTGAATCTCTCTTTACAAATACATTGATTTATTTAACAGGATGTTCTGTTTTGAAGTGGGTTCACATAATGTACATTTCTGAGGTTAGATAAAAATAGAGACAAAGGTTAAAGTAAAATGTTTATTCAAGTATACCTTAAATATGGAAAACACCAGCCACTATAGGTAGATATTTATAGAAAATATTTTATAGGCATTATCATGTAACATAACATTTTAGAATACTTTTTTTGAGTCCATAGAAATAATTCTTAAATTCTTTCATTTAGCTCATTTTAAATCTCCTTCATATACTATTTAATTGGGACACCATATTCAGTGATGTGCCAAGAAATCTCTTCTTCCTTTGTGGGAAGAAAGGTGAAACAGTTTCCTCTTCTGATTTCTGATATAGGCTTATGCACTTTATTAATTTTCTTTTTATAGTTATAGCTTTTTTTTTTAGCTTCCCCCCCCAATCCATCTTCTATCACTAATTTGTCATTCAGTATAAAACTTTAGATTCTACACTATGACTCACCATTTATGATGGTAGAAATTTTAGCAAATGACTATGTCATCATGTTCTTCATAAATTACATTGAAAAAGAATTACCTGCTTTCTCATGTTATCAATTATTTAGCACCTAGAAAACTTTCTATTTCTTCTTGCATGTCAACACAAACGAAATTTCTGGTTGAGAAGTCTCCTTTGATCCTGAGACCTATGCTACTTCCTATGTATTAAGAAAAAAATTTTAAATACCAGTCTTTGCAAAGATTGTTAAGTTTATTGATTTCTATGAGAAAAGTTGATTTCAAAATTTTATGTTCATCTACGTGCAGTGCTTTATAGTTAATTTTAGATTTTTTCTGTCAAGGTACTGCTTTTTTTCCTTCTTTAAATGTAAAAATGTAAAAAAAACCTCCACAACCATGGATTTTTGAAAAAATTAAACTTACTTAAAACATTAGTGCTGCTCTTTCCCATGAGTGCCACTGTTCTAAGAATTCAATCTAAGGGGTGACAGCATTTCCAGAAAACTATCATCAAGTAGAAATTCCAGCAAAAGCCACATAATGTTATAGCAAAAACTAAGTCAGTGTTATCTTACTCATTGTTTAACAGAAGAAAGTTTGAGGTGCTTAAAACTATAATCTATTGACAAAAATGTGAGACTCATCACTCATGGCATTTATTGCCAATTTCTTCAGTTTTCATAAATGTAGGACTAGAACGTATGAGGATTTCGTTAGAAACCAGCTTATATGCCAATTAATTTTACATGTACAGACACATACCTCCTATCTTTCTCAACATAGACAAATGTCCAGGTATTACCATCTGGAATTATGAATACAACAGTTGAAAGACTTAAGTTAGGCTTCTTTTCTCCCTCTTTGGTGGTAAACATAATCTTCAGCAATGCAAGAAAAAAAAATGTTAAGCATAAAGGAGAAAGGAGGAACTGTATAATAACCCTATAACTAATTTCAATGGGATGTTGTTATTAAGAAGGCAATGTATGGTATGGTTTCAGATGAAATAGCCCAAACCCTCATCACCAAGGAGATGTAGCAGTAATATATTTTTAGAATAAAAATGGCAAAAAAGGTAACATGACAGGAGTCATTAGTACCATAATCTCAAACTGGGAATCATACTTAAGGATGGAGCAGCACTATATTAGAAAAAATCTGATCCATTTACTCTTCTGCTTCAAACTTTAAGCCTTCTAGAATCCTCCCTTCCAAGTTCAGCATTCTTCAAAGGGTTTCCCCAGCCCTGCTTGACTTTTGGAGCCTTCTCTCATGCCTCTCCCTCTGTGTCCCATCCCCACCAGACCCAGGCTGCCCCAAAGAAAGCTGCTTGGCACCCATCTGACTTTTCTCATTTTGTTCTCTCACCCTGAGGGAACCACTCATTTCTCCTCTCATCCAGGGTTGCTCTTGCTTCCCCATGATGCTTTTAGAGATGTGCGGGGATGATCCTGGTCGTTGTAATGCCTGAGGGTGTTTCTGTATTCAGTGGGCAGCAGGGGCAAGGCATGGTGCTCTAGAGCTTGAGACATTCCATAGCAGGAAGAATTGTCCTACTGAAAATGCTAATAGAGACTCCCATTGCAAAAGCTCTCTTGTAAAGATCTTAAAGATCTCTTCTTAAATTTTACTTGCAAAGGAAATCCTTCCTGACTCTCCATACTCAGTTTTCTGTATTTCGCTCATAACATAACCTTCACTTTGCTTAAAAAAATTGACCTTCCTACTGGACCACAAACTACTGAGGGAAGAGCCATGTTCATGGTGTTTGCTTTTAGATCCCCAGTACTTTGCACAGTACCTGGCACACAGGAGAAAATTCAATAAATACATTTCAATCCGTCAATGAATGAATAAAATTCCGAATCTTGTAGTGGCTCTAACTATAAAATTAGAAGATCAGTCAGGCTGCCTAAATAAGGCCTATAGTGAAGATAGATTCACAGCTAGAATAGGGATAGAGAAGATGGAAAGAAGTAATGTTTGTTTACCATCTACTAGTCGTCAGAAAATTTCAGGTATAACATATCTGTATTCTTATTTACTTTTCCAACAATTGCAAGAGGTAGGTATCCTAAGTTGGTTAAAAACTACTCTCTGGTGAAATGTGGATTTAGACACAGAT